CGAGCTGTTTCCAGGCAGGTCCAGCCGTGAGTGCGTGAGGCAGGACAGCGTGGCAGGGACGCAGCGTTAAGGGTGACACAAAGGGACAGAGGCTTTCCTCTTCACCATGGGCCGGGCTGGGCTTCCTCTGTGCGTGGGAACTTCCTGGGATCGTTTGGTGTCAAATTCCAGAGGGCTCCCGTGGGTCCCCCTGTGCTCACCCAGCTCTCCTGGCCCCCCTCTCTTGTCCCCCTGCATTAGCGCTGTGCGTGAGGGGATGCGGGCTTCTGCTGCATGGCTTCCGGTGACTTGTCAAAGGTTTGGGACAGATCCAACGCAGAGTCTTGGAGGAGGGGAGATGCAGGGCTGCTCTGAAAACTCCCCTCTTGGCTGAATCTCAGTGCATGAAACACACCTTACTACTGACCAGTTCTCCGCAAAGCACTGTCACAGTGGGACCACACACTTACTTTGAGCAGTGACCAGAGTGCATCTGGCATTAGGAGTCTCTCCCAGAAACCAAGTGACGGGCTCTGACTACTGCTCTCTGTAAGCACCTGCTGGGCAAGTCCCACTCTGGGGCACACCTCCCATGCCCAGGGGCCACCCGGCAGGGCCTTCCAGTTAAACGTCACACAAGTGGACAACAGTTCTTCTGTTGCCACCAGCAGAAACAGACTTCTGTACGGGGAGCTGGATCACCCAGCTAACGAAGCACCCACTACTGCCAAGCTTCAGAAAGCTCAGAAAACGCATTTTCTCCTTTTCTTCCCATTTTTGCCTGTAACTTGTAAATCCGTTCTTCTCAAATGCAATCAGATTTGAGAGAAGGGGCCATAGGAGTCAGGAGTCCCAGAGTGAAAGGGGGGGGCAGTCACTGCTGGGATGCCTGGAGAAGAGAGTTCCTCACTGGACCGGAACGTGGGAAGAACAGGCTCCCATCTTTTCCAACATGAAGAGTTTCTCAGTTTTCAGAGTTTATGGTGTTTGTTCTTGAGAAGCCAAGGGCACAAATTCAAGAACAGGAAGCACGATGGCTTCTTGATCAAATTAAATAGCAAAATGAAAGCACGAACTGCTCCAATTCAACTCGGCAAATTAGCAAAACAAATGAATTAAAATTTTAAGCATCAGGATATAATTAGAAAGTCTTTGGTGGATAAAAATATCTCTGAAGCCTGAATTAAATCAGTTGGGTGATGTGATTAGTAAGGCTTTATGTGTGAGTCCAAATGTACAGTTGTGAAATGTAAAAAGGAGAGTAAAGACTGACCATTCCAGATGGTCCCTAAACATGGTCCTGCAAGAATAATACGAATAATAGTAGCGAACCTCTTTCGGGCTTTTATTATGTGAAGATGCTGTGGTACACTATGTAGTATTCTTATCACTTGTACTGTTTTGCTCTCTCTTTTTTAAAAGATTTTATTTATTTATTTTTAGAGAGGGGAAGGGAAGGAGAAAGAGAGAGAGAGAAACAGCCACGTGGGGTTGCCTCTCTTGTGCCCCCACTGGGGACCTGGCCTGCAACCCAGCATGTGCTCTGACCGGGAATTAAACCAGCGACCCTTTGGTTCGCCGGCCAGCACTCAATCCACTGAACCACACCAGCTAGGGCTGTTTTGCTCTCTTAAAAAGTAATAAATAAAATCACCATTGTTAACATTTAGAAAATACGAGCCATCGCTGACCATGACCATGGACTTTAGGGCACTGACGTCCAACAAAAGACACTCTGAGACAGGGGCCTTTTCTCCTGTTTGCCTCTTCTTCCTCACACACACACACCACGACTGCTCAGTAAAGTCTGCTTCTGCAAAACTCCGAACAGGTCCAGCCTGGGCTGGAAGAAGCCAGTGAGGGCGTGGTCTTCCCTGGCCGCATCCATTCACTCAAGAGTGGACACGTGGTGATGGACACCTGTAGTCCATTACTGGGGGGAAGCTCACCCCATCCCGAGGTACTGTTGGGAGGTGGGACAACCAAGATGAATGGGCAGTGCTCGCCACCGTACTTTCCAACTCCAAGCAGCAAGAATGCTGGAGTTGGCATGTTGGACGCAGCTGCTCTGTGCAGAGTCTCGGACCGACCTAGGCCCTGACCAGCTGCCCTGAGAGCAGAAGAGGTCAATAAATGAGCACAACCGGAGTAAAGACATTGGTTGAAATGAGGGTCCTCAGACTACAGTCCCAACACCTGTTTTTGTAAATAAAGTTTTATTGGGACACACTCGTGCCCAAACATACAGGAAGTGCCTTTCACGTTATAGCCGCGGAGCTGAGTGGTGCAAACAGAGAACATGTGGTTCGCCCAGTGGAAAACACTCACTCACCTGCCTCTCACAGAGACGTCTGCACAGCTCTGGCTCAGACTCACCAACCAGAGGGGACTAACACCTGCGAGGCAACCGCGATGCCTGCTGCATTGCCCAACACTTTCCTTCCTGCACTACCAGGTGTCTTATCCTTCTGAACATCTCCCTCCCCTGCTAGGCTTCAAGTTCCCGGAGGGCAGTCAGCAGCGTCTATTTAAATGACCTCTGGTGCCACATCTCAAGCACCCAGCACACCGATAGCACCCTGTGAATGTCTGCTGGCTGAGTAAGTGATGAATGAGCTCCTTGGATTATCCTTCACATGGGAACAGAAGCAATGGCTTCCTTCAGGAGGTGCCAGAAAGAGAGTAACAACGTTTCCATGATAGCGTGCCAAGAAAGGGCCCCATGTTCCACAATAAGGAGGGCACCGATCTCAATGACACAAACACCTCTCAGCCTCTGAGGGGTAGGCGTGCCCACCCACTGTCTCCTTCCAGAAATCAGCTCGGATTCTCAGAAGGCGCAGAGGCAGGGTGTGGCCGCAGCAAGCAGTGGGGGTGCCACTGAAAATGGGCCCCCGGGGCTCCCCTTACTGAGAATGCTCCCCCTCACCTGCATGCGGGGGCCCCAGCCCCCAAGTTTGCTCCATGATCTGTGATTGCACCTGTTTACGGGAGTTCGGGCTTCATCATCGTTCAGGGGAACGGTAACAATTTCTCAAAGACAGGAAATGAGGCAGTCCGGTGGCTCACCCCTTCTCTCCAATGTCGAGACAAGGGTCTGCAAAAATGATAGGAGCCCAGAGAAGACTGACTCCACACACTCAGGATACCCATTCGGGGAATCTAGAAACTCATTTCATCTGCAGATGCCCATTTTTATTTTCTTTAGCATGCAATCTGAGAGAAATTTTATGAGAAAAAGGAAAAAATTAAAAGGATGCCACAGTTTTTAAATCGCTCAAATGGCTTCAGGGAGTTAAAAAACCTTGAAGATATTATATTACCACCAGTCAGGAGGCAAGCAGTTTTTATTTTTTAGGCTAAGTTGACATATTTCCATGCAGTTTTAGATCCACCGTGCTGAGGAGATGTAAAACACTGGGCTGCGGTAATGAATGCAAAACGACAAGATCTGGGTTTCCTTATAACCTGCTACTGAGCACAGCAGCACACAGCACGGGAGAGGTGGGTGAGAGCCAAGTTCGAATCAAGTGGAGGCCTGCAGGAAACAGCCAGGAAGGCCGCACGCTCCAGAAAAGGAAAACGCCGCACGCTGCGTTGAGACATCATCTCCTGGACACAGTCTGCTCTTCAAACACAAACACAAAACCAAGCTTCGATTGTCTGCTCTGCGCCTGCCTCTTTCTCTCCTGTTAACTCATGGCAAGTGCAGGCCAATCCAGACCCAGGAAAGTCCTGTCACCAAGTGGGGGAGAGCAGGTGGCGGGATGCCCCGACTTTCTGTTCCTGTGAATCAGGTGGTATTGGGGGCACCACCCTCTCTGCCAAAGAGCCAGTGTTGTTTTGAGGGAGACAGGGTATTTGTCACCCACTGAGGCCAAGGAAAATGGCTTCAAGTTCACAGACCTTTGGCGTGACATTCCATCTGTCCATTTTTCTCAGTTTGTAATAGAAAAACGTTTTTCTATTAGACGTTCTGACATAAAAATAATTTGCAGTGGTTTGAGAAATGGTGATACTGCCATTAGACCAATTCCCTCAAATATTTTCTTGTAAGAATGAAATATTTAATGTGGAAAGTGGATGCTTAAGTTAGTCACTCGCCATGTACCGACAGTGAAAAACAGTGCGTCTATCCACCCATTAGGGGAAATACACTTGTTACCATTTGGCAGCGTGGCCTATGGGTTTGTAGTCTGTGGTCTAGTAACGCCAATTTTAGAAAAACATCCTGAGAACTATTCATTAAACTACTCAGTAGACCCTGCCTTCAAATGACAGAAGCTGGAATAGAAAGAACTAAGGGAGTAGTTAACATAGGTTGCCAACCCAGCGAAATATCATCCCATCATTATGACTTATTATAAAGAAAGCCATGGAAACAAATTCACAGTTTGCTGAGTGGAATACACTTCATGTACAGGAGAAAAATATCTGAAACCTTCTGTTTAGTACGCAAATTCGTGGGCCCTGCATCAGTGTGCGAGTCCTCGTTTCTCTCTGGTGTCCGGCTGACCTCCCCCAGCCTTCCTTCTCCCTCTTGCCAGGTAATTCATACATGTCACTTCTCCCAAACCCAGTTTGATCCTTATCCCTTTCATAAAGTTGTCTTGCCCAGGAGGGACATTGCTATAGATCCCATAACCCTTATCATTTCCTTAGTGGTTTTGTTTGTTTTAATTTCGAAGATAGAGCGTGAATTCATAGACAGTTAATTTTAGCATTTGCAATGAATCATAATTCCATGATGTTGAATGAATTGATCCATAAATAGAAACACTTCTGAGCAAGGGTTATTTCTTTTTTTGTATCTGCACTATTTCCCGTAGTTCAGGGGAACAGGTTACCCACAGATCTTCACCAGAACAGAAGGATAAATAGACGTGCGGGTATCGTTACCTACGAGTCTGGCTGCTACACCAGTCTGTGTTCTGGTTCCCCGTTCCTTTTCCACTTCATGCTCCCACGAAAGGTCAGATAGGTTCTTTTCTAAAGGGGTGGCATCTGTAAAGAGAACTTACCCAGGTCAAACTGGCCAGAAATGTAGCCACAAGTCTGCCGAACTTCCTCACTATCCCAGCCCAAGGGGTAGAGGGCACAGCCAGCACCAATCAGCAAGCCTGCAAAGAGAGGAGAGGAGAGGACGTCAGCAGTGATCCCTGTACCCCCACCTCAGGGGAGCAGGAGGGGAATTGTTATTAGCACTAAAACAGAGGAGCATGGTGTCTGTTTCGGAAAGCCATCTGAGGTTAGATTCCAAGAATAATTTCAAGCCTGCTTTAAAAGGAAAAAAAGAAAAAGTTAGAAAAAACAAATCGCAAATAAAGAAATAAAAAAAATTTATTTCTTTATTCTTAGAGAGAGTGGAAGGGAGAGAAAAAGAGAAGGAGAGAAACTTCGACCGGTTGCCTCTTGTGTGCCCTGCAACCGGGGACCAACCTGTAACCCAGGCCTGCGCCCTGACCAAGAATCGAACTGGCAAACTTTTGATTTGTGGTACGAAACCCAACCCATTGAACCACACTGGCAGGGACTGAAGAGTAATTTATTTATTTATTTATTCTTAACAATATATATATTTTATTGACTATGCTATTACAGTTGTCCCATTTCACTCCCTTATTCCCCTCTGCCCTGCACACCCCCTCCCACTTGCATTCCCCCACTTTAGTTCATGTCCATGGGCCATACATATAAGTTCTTTGGTTTCTCCATTTCCTGTACTATTCTCAACCTCCCCCTGTCTATTTTCTACCATCTATGTCACTTTTTCTCTGTACCTGTTTTCTCTCTCTCCCCTTACTTCCCCCCCCATAACCCTCCATGTGATCACCATTTCTGTGACTCTGTTGCTATTCTAGTTGTTTGCTTAGTTTGTTTTTGTTTTTGTTTTTTTTAGGTTCAGTGGTTCATAGTTGTGAATTTGTTGTCATTTTACTGTTCATATTTTTTATCTTATTTTTTCCTTAGATAAGTCCCTTTAACATTTCATATAAGGGTTTGGTAATGATGAACTCCTTTATCTTGACCTTATCTGGGAAGCACTTTATCTGCCCTTCCATTCTGAATGACAGCTTTGCTGGATACAGTAATCTTGGGTGTAGGTCCTTGTCTTTCATGACTTGGAATACTTCTTTCTAGCCCCTTCTTGCCTGCAAGGTTTCTTTTGAGAAATCAAATGACAGTCTTATGGACACTTCTTTGTAGGTAACACTCTGCTTTCTTCTTGCTGCTTTTAAGATTCTCTCCTTATCTTTAATCTTGGCTAATGTAATTATGATGTGCCTTGGTGTGTGCTTCCTTGGGTCCAAGTTCTTTGGGATTCTCTGAGCTTCCTGGACTTTGTGAAAATCTATTTTCTTTGCCAGATTGGGGAAGTTCTCCCTTATTTGTTCAAATAAGTTTTCAATTTCTTATTCTTTCTTTTCTCCTTCTAGCACCCCTATGATTTGGATGTTGGAACATTTAAAGTTGTCTTGGAGGTTTCTAGGCCTCTCCTGATTTTTTTTGAATTCTTGTTTCTTCATTCTTTTCTGGTTGAATGTTTCTTTCTTCCTTCTGGTCCACACTGTTGATTTGAGTCATGGTTTCCTTCCTGTCACTGTTGATTTTCTGTACATTTTCCTTTATTTCACTTTTCATAGCCTTCATTTTTTTCCTCTATTTTATAACCGCACTCAAACATTTTTGTGAGCGTCCTGATTACCAGTGTTTTGAACTGTGCATCTGACAGGTTGGCTATCTCTTTGTCAGTTACTTGCATTTTTTCTGGAGCTTTGATCTATTCTTTCATTTGGGCCTTTTTTTTTTTTTTTTGTCTCAGCACACCTGTTTTGTAGTAAGAAACAGAGCCTTAGGTATTCACCAGGGTGGGGCAACCCACGTGGCTGCGTTGTGGTGCTGTCTGTGGGGAGGGTCCAAGAGGGAACAGTGCTGCTTGCTCCATTCTCCGCCGTCTTTCAGTCACTTCTCCCATTTCCCCCAAGCAAACTGGGCCCTTCTGGTGCTGATTCCCGGGTGGGTGGGTTTGTGTATGTTCTAGGACCCTGTGGGTCTCTCCAATGAACTCTCCTGTGAGGCTGGGGGTTTCTCCTGCTGCTCAACCCCCACAGGTGTTTTCAGTCAGAGGTTTGAGGCTTTATTTCCCCACCGGAGCCCTGGGTTTTGGTCTGTCTTGTTCCCCAGTTGTTCCTCTCAGTTTATCCCAACTCAGATGTAGGACCCCTCCCAACCCCTAGGTCCACCAGCCACTGTCTCACCTCGAGTCCTCTCTGCCCAGCTGCCCATCTCTGCCCCCACTGCTGGTCCGGGTGAGTGTGTCTTCTTTAACTCCTTGGTTGTCGGACTTCCATACAGTTTGGTTTTCTTCCAGACTGGGAGACAACAAACTGGTTGTCTTTTGTGTTTAAATTTGTTGTTGTCCTTCTTTTGGTTGTGGGGCAGGGTGTGTCCACCTATGCCTCCATCTTGGTTGGAGGTTGAAGAGCAATTTAGAGAGCAGTAATGGGAGGTTTCTCGGACTAAACAAATGCCCCAGTGACTGGTGCCTTAGGCTCCCCCCACCCCCACCCCCCATGATAGAATTTATGAAGCATTCCGAGGACAACAAGCTAGTGTTATCTACCACCAAGTAAAGAGATAATTAATGGGGATGTGAGTGTTTGTGTAAACCGAATTCCATGAATGTTTAATGAGTAATATGGCATCATTTCCATGATACTTCTTGAATTAATAAGTAACACCAGTTTTTGAGATCTTGTGAGCAACTTTTTAATGCAGAAAGACAGCCAGGCCAGGAAATGCTCAAGTGTAAAACAAGGGAAAAATGCCAACATTGAAACCCTCGTTTCCTCTTTATCTGATTGGCAAACAAATGATAAACAGTCTCTTTTGCTAATGTTCTTTTCAGAATGGCAGAAAAATATGTGTCATGTACTCACGAAAGCACCTGCTGTGGTCTAACAGGATGCTGGGCCCTTTGGGCAAGTCAACAGAGGGGAATTTATAGATGCCTGCAGGGGGAGCAAGTGGGCCCGAGGCTGTCCAGGGGGCAGAGTGCTTGGCAGTCAGGGTGCAATTGTGGAAATGCAGGTTCAGCTATAGAAATCGGGAGCAATTTTATACCCGGAAAAACTCATGCTACATGTATGAAATAAAAAATACCTGTTGTAAACCTGCTCACATTAAAGTAAGTGTCCCGTGGGGGACAGCAGCCTTAACTGGGTTTTTACGTAAGTGGATTTTCATAGGCGGATTTACGCAGTTTTCATGAGCCGTCTGGTAGTGTGCGCTAGGAGCGGGGATAATGCGGGTTCCGGAGGTCCAGGAGACATTCTGGGAGAGAAGTGTATGTTGCAAATTGATTTGGCTAGTCGGCTGTCCCAGTGATTAGGTTCTGTGGGCAAACATCAGGGGTCTCCCCAGCTCCCTTGCTACCGCTGTGTGTTCAAGTGAAAGCAAATCACAGAAGGGATTCAGCCAAATACACAACAGATGTTTGCTAGCAAGCTGGCCTGAAAAGTGGTCAGAAGACCAATTCTGTTAGCTGAGTGAGACTCTCCCCGCCACCTAACTCCATCACACAGGGATGTCGGACCTTCTGGCGTCTCTGAGCCACACGGGAAGAAGAAGAGTTGTCTTGGACCACACGTGGAATACACTGTGATATGTAATCACAGAAATATCTCATAATGTTTTAAGTAAATTTACAGTTTTGTATTGGGCTGCATTCATAGCCTTCCTGGGCTGCATGTGGCCCACGGGCCACAGGTTGAATACCCCGGATTCTAACAAGTACCTTTGACACACGATAAGTGCAATAAATATTCAGACAGCAGGATCAGGGACGCTTTGGGGCAGATCAGGCAATAAATCCCATTTAATGGAGTGGGAGAGGGAGTAGGACCAGAGAGAGTTCTAGACCTGCGTGGCCCAATGCAGTCAGTAATCCCAAGCTACGCGTAGGTATTTAAGTTTAAATTCAAATGAATTAAAATTATGCAAAACTAAAAATTCAATTCTTCAATTGCTTAAGCCACGTTTTCAAGTGCCTCATAGCCACATAGCGCTAGTGGCTATCATGCTGGGTACACAGATATGAATCATTTTCATAATTGGGTAAAGTGCTATTGGAGAGGGCTGTTCTCAATCTAACGCACCGCTTCAGAAGGGCACTGGGCTGGCTGGGTTCTCATACCCTGGGCTGATGCTGCGTGCTCACAATCAAAGTCATCCCTGCTCAATTGGATTCCCCCTTCCAGGTGGAGCTAGAGGCCAGGAAACTACGTTTCCAAAATTCTCCTCCTAACAGGAATTCTGGTTCAGTTCTGTCCCTAAGAGGCCTTCCACTCTCGGGATTTAGCAGGTAAAAGAGAGGGATAAGCCGTATTCCCGTGGGCAGCTGCAGCCTGGGGCTTACCTTTCTGCAGACAGGGGGCGTGATTTTGCCAGGGGCTCCCTGGCGTACCCTCGGCATCACCCAGGAAGGCATATCATCAACCATAGATTCTTTCAAACTCGCGCTGGCTCAATTCCTGCACTGGTCTCTGAACTTCACTTCCCCAGACCTTCTAATAGGTCTTTGAAACTTGATATCCCAAGTGGCTACATCGCTTCCTACTTGAAATATCCCAGGTGGTTCCTTTAGTGGGCTAATCTATCATTGATCTGAGCATCAGATCTACCCTATGATCTGAGCATCATCCATTTTCTCCACTAAAACTCCACTAATAATTGGTGTAAAACTTGCACCAATTATTAAACCTTGGGGTGAAGTGTGGATAGTAACATTAGAAAGCTTTGCATAAAAAAAAAAAAAAAGAAAGCTTTGCATCAACAACCTCTATGGCCGTGGTCTCCGGCTGGGGAACTTCTGCTCCTTATCCTGTCCCGGAATGTGGATTTCAGAAGAGGTACTTCCAGTGTTAACTGACCTTACCTTGGAGTCAGCTAGCATTTTACCAGTTGTACTTAACAATGAAAATTGTGAAGCGAGAGACAGACATAAATATGAAAACACTTTTTTTTAGTGGAAAAATTCTGCCACTGTTCAGTTTTAGCACTGTTAACTCTTGGACAGTGTTGTAGAAATCCATGTTTGATGGACACGTAGTTTGAATTC